GTAATATCCCCTTAACATCTATACCATACTCAAAAGGTCTGGTACATTTAGGGGGAGACTATTATTATTATACAGTATTTATATAGCGCCAAAGGGTATGCTCAGCGCTGTACAGTAGCAAGGGGGACAGAACATGAGACAAGACAGTAACAATACAATACACGAGGGTTCGAGGGCCCTGCTCTTTCGAGCTTACAATCTAGGAGGGAGGGGATACTATGCAATTGTTCTTGTTTTTTTCTTGTTGTAAAGTGCCACAGCAAAAATGACATTTTCAAAGAAAAAAAAAAATTAAACCATTTAAATTGCTGGCAAATTACTTTCATTGTCAGCTTCTTAGAACACTAGTCCCTCCAATATCCCACAAAATCTTTGCAATCTTCTTCTTGGAGGGGTCTGTCAGGTTTTTTTTTTATTACAAAGAAGCTGGCGATGACAGCTGTCAAAGTCATTTGCCGGCAATTTTAAAACTTTTTTCTTCTGTAAATGTCAATGCTAAAAAAAGTCACTGCTCCCGGCTGCGTGTTTGACTCATCACTATTATTTATCTACCTACCGATCCATTTAATATCTCCACTCTGGCCATTGTTCTACCAACCAGCAGTACAAATACAATCATACAAATACCAAAAGACACAATAAACACTCAGTATATTGATAACTGCAATAAATGACACAACAACTATCTATCATCTATCTATCTATCTATCTATCTATCTATCTATCTATCTCTATCTATCTATCTATCTATCTATCTATCTATCTATCTATCTATCTATCTATCTCTATCTATCTATCTATCTATCTATCTATCTATCTATCTATTCTATCTATCTATCTATCTATCTATATCTATCTATCTATCTATCTATCTCCCTATCTATCTATCTATCTATCTATCTATCTATCTATCTATCTATCTATCTATCTATCTATCTATCTATCTATCTCCCTATCTATCTATCTATCTATCTCTATCTATCTATCTATCTATTAATCTATCTATCTATCTATCTATCTATCTATCTATCTCTATCTCTCTCTATCTCTCTCTCTATCTATCTATCTATCTATCTATCTATCTATCTATCTATCTATCTATCTATCTATCTATCTATCTATCTATCTATCTCTCTCTCTCTCTCTATCTATCTATCTGTATCTATCTTCCCTATCTATCTCTATCTATCTATCTATCTCTCTATCTATCTATCTATCTATCTATCTATCTATCTATCTATCTATCTATCTATCTATCTATCTCTATCTATCTATCTCCTATTTATTTCTATCTATCTTTCTATCTATTATCTATCTATTATCTATTTATCTATCTATCTATCTATCTATCTATCTATCTCCTATCTATCTATCTATCTATCTATCTATCTATCTATCTATCTATCTATCTATCTCTCTCTCTCTCTCTATCTATCTATCTATCTATCTATCTATCTATCTATCTATCTATCTATCTATCTATCTATCTATCTATCTATCTATCTATCTATCTATCTATCTATCTATCCATCTATCATCTATCATCTATCTCTCTCTCTCTCTCTCTCTCTATCTCTCTCTATCTATCTATCTCTCTCTATCTCCTATCTATCTATCTGTCTATCTATCTCCTATCTCTATCTATCCATCTCCTCCTCTATCTCTCCCTATCTATCTCTCTATCCATCCCTCCTCCTCTATCTATCTATCTCTATCTATCTATCTATCTATCTATCTATCTACCCCCCCCTCCTCTCCTCTCCTCCCCCCCTCTCTCTCTCCCCCCCCTATCTATCTATCTCCCCCTATCTATCTATCTATCTATCTATCTATCTATCTATCTCTATCTATCTATCTATCTCCTATCTATCTATCTATCTATCTATCTATCTCGGGAAATCCTGGGATGCCATAAATAGTTCATCTATTAATTAGTTCTACATTAATTGACACATAAAATCCAGTCCCCGAGGACTACAGGTGTGAAATCTGGCCTTTCATTTCCCTTTACTGCTTTTCCGATCCGGCCAATAGAAGCCTCCGGCCATCTTGGCACGGCGCTCTCCCAGCGAGCTGTTCCCAGCCAGCTCATCTTTAAATAATGAAGACTATTATTTTCCAGGGCGTTTAATAACTTTGCCGCGGATCCGTCCAGTCAATTATGCAGGAGTTCACAGGACGCGGTGTGTGCAATGACTTCCATCAGCATGCGTCTCACACAGCACTCCCGGCCATCTCGCTTAGAACGTTAGCAGACATCCTAAATTAGCGCAGGTTCCACGCCTGCACCGAGAGCGTTCATTATCCGCCATTGATATTCCTCGCCCGTCTGCATTTTATCTTCCTCGCTGCTCTTCCTGCTATTGTGCGCTTCACTTTATTTTGGGGAAATCGATACATGGCAAACCAAGGACTTCTTCTCATGAAATGTTGAAGCTTCATGTTTATTTATTTGGGGGGGGGGGGGGGTAACAAAAACGTTTGATTGGCTGGATGTGGTGCGGTATTAAACCCAAAATTATTTTGCAGATTACCAATCATCATTAGGTGTGATGGCTGCATTAGTCTTCCTTTTTGGGTGTTCTTTAATCTGTTTTCATCTGGTGATCTAGCTAGTAAGTCTGTTGTTTTTCAAAAGCACAAGCTGTCTTCCAGAGGTATCAGTTTACAGGGATGGGACAAACCATTTACTACTGACTTTCTCTCAAAGAGAAAAAAAACAACTGTTTGCTGTAAAACTGATTATGAAGTATTAGCTGGAGTTTGGCTTCAATTTGTTAGTGTATCTAAATCTGCTAATTACATCTAACACTCCCCTCCCCCCAGACTGACAATGCTGCTGTCCAAAGGCGCCCCCTGTGCTCCTTCATCCAGAGTGGGGGCGCTCTAATACAGGAGTATTTTTTTTTCATCAGTTCAGTCATGTTTTTTTTTCAAGAAAAAACTGATCAGTTCACATCCGTTTTAATCCTTGTACATCCATTTTTGTCCGTTTTTTCATCCGTTTCCATCCGTGTTTCATCCATTTTTCATGTGTTTTTGTCTGTTTACATCCGTTTTTGTTTGTTTCCATTTGTTTTTTCATGTGTTTACATCCATTTTCATCAGTTTACATCTGTTTTTGTCCGTTTTCATCCGTTTCCATTTGTTTTTCATCAGTTCACATCCATTTTTCATGCATTTACATCTGTGTTTCATCTGTTTACATTAGTTTTTGTCCATTTTCATGTTCTTTTGTCCGTTTACATCCACTGTTCATCCATTTACATCCGTTTTCATCCGTTTTTGTCTGTTTACATTATTTTTTGTCCGTTTTCATCCGTTTTTTTGTCTGTTTTCATCCGTTTGCATCTGTGTTTCATCCATTTTTTATGCGTTTTTGTCCGTTTACATTTGTACCGTTTACATAAATATTTTGTCTGTTTTCAGCCTTTTTTGTCCGGTTTCATCCGTTTGCATCTGTGTTTCAGCCATTTTTTCATGTGTTTTTTGTCCATTTACATCCATTTTTGTCCATTTACAACAGTTTTTGTTTGTTTACATCTGTTTTTCATGCGTTTACATCCATTTTCATCAGTTCACATCCATTTTAATCCACTTACATCCATTTTTCATGCATTTACATCTGTGTTTCATCCGTTTATATTAGTTTTTGTCCATTTTCATGTTCTTTTGTAAGTTTACATCCATTGTTTATCCATTTACATCCGTTTTTTGTCTGTTTATATCCTTTTTTGTCCTTTTTTGTCCGTTTTCATCCATGTTTCATCCATTTTTCATGCGTTTTTGTCGTGTACATCCATTTTTTTTAACCGTTTACATCCGTTTTTGTTTGTTTACATCTGTTTTTCATGTGTTTACATCCATTTCCATCAGTTTACATTTGTTTTTCGTCAGTTCACATCTATTTTAATCTGCTTACATCCATTTTTCGTGCATTTACATCTGTTTTTCATCCATTTACATTTGTTGTCCATTTTCATGTTCTTTTGTCCATTTACATCCATTGTTCATGCATTTACATCTGTTTTTCATCCATTTGTTGTCCATTTTCATGTTCTTTTGTTTGTCCGTTTACATCCATTGTTCATCCATTTGTTTGTTTACATCTGATTTTTCATGCGTTTACATCCGTTTTCATCCGTATACATCCATTTTTCATCCATTTACATCCATTTTTCATGCGTTTACATTAATTTTTCATCTGTTTACATCCATTTTTCATCCGTTTTCATCCATTTACATCCATTTTTTATTAGTTCCTTTTTTGTTAAACAGAAGAAAAATCGGGTTTTCTTCAGTTCCAAAAAAACGGATGTTAACGGATGCAGACATTAACGGAGATAAACAGATGGCCATTCGTTTACATCCGCTAGTCCATAGATATACATGCGTGTCCGTTTTTCATCCGTAAACGGACAGATGAAAAACGGACTTATGGAACGCCCATGTGGAAGGTTCCTAAAAAGGAAAACGAATGCAGCCACCACATCTAATGATTTGTAAGCTGCAACATATTACATTTTTGGTTTGGGGTTTAATACCGATTTAAAGATGAACTCCACATCGTGTATTTCTTCCAGATCTGTGCAGTAATCCAGTGTGAGACTTTTCCTGTAATAAAGACCGCTCACTGCTGCCCTCTCTCCTTGTGCAGAGTGACTGGTCTTGTCTCCACCCCCTCCTGTAGATTTCTGTACTTGGGTGGAACCTACTGGGCTCCTCCCCCACAGCTCTGCTCTCTGGTTATATACAGCACAGGGATGATCTCACTGCTACTTTTACAAGGTAATATCTGGATTTGCAAAGCATTTGGTGAACACATTTTGGATTTACTGTATATTCTCTGTAGCTATTGAGGAATATATGTACAGTAAATTAAAGTTTTATTTTTTCCCTGGAGTTCAGCCTTTTAATGCCACCACATAGTACGGTGGTGGCAGCAAGGGGCAGGATGGGGGCGGGGTGTGTTAACATTTCTGTGCTAACATCCCAGGGGGCGATGCAGGGCCGGACTGACCATTTGGAAACTCGGGCACTGCCTGAGGGCCCGGGGTCAGTAGGGGGCCCCATGAGATGCCCCTGGTGCCTTTTTCATAGGCATTTTTGAGTGTGGGCAAGGACACAGGGGCCCCATGATCCCCTATTGCCCGGGGGCCCCATGAGTTGTCAGTCCGCCCCTGGGGCGATGTGTAAAATGTCACTTCCGGGTCCTGGTGTCACTTTCCCCAACCAGTATGGGCAGGAAAGAAGCCAATGGAGTGCAAACTGCACACCAATAGTTTCAATGGAGGGCCGGTGTCGCATTAAAGAGAACCTGTCACTAAAAAATGCATTACATTCCCTTTTTTTTCATTTCAAGCACCTGTATGAGAAATAATAAGGCTTGATTTACTAAAACTGGAGAATACAAAATCCGGGTGCAGCTGTGCATGATAGCCAATCGGCTTCTAGCTTCAGCTTGTCTACTCGCCCCAGGTTCACACCTAAGCGTTTTCCGCAGCATTTTGCAGAACCGCAGTGCAGTCCGTTTCACATGATTTCCTATGGGACAGGTTCACATCTCCGCGTTTTCACCCGGTGGGTTTTTTGGAAAGGGTCGGGGATTTTTTTTGTACGCAAAAAATTGCGTTTGTGTTTCTATAGACTTCAATGGAAACGCTGCAGAAAAGCATGTATTGCGTTTTTGCTGCATTTTTCACGCGTTTTGTGTTTTAAATCTGCCTAGCAACAAGAAAAAGAAAAAAGTGCAAAGACGCAAAATGCAACGCAGAAACGGCTCAAATGCAACCTGCACAGGTGTGAACCCAGCCTTAAGCTTTGACAATAAAATCTGGAAGCTGATTGGATTCTATGCAGAGCTGCAGCAGATTTTGCGCACTCCCAGTTTTAGTAAATCTCCCCCATGTGTCAATGTAACACTTCCAGGTCTTTATTACCGCTCATGGAGATCACAGAAGTCCTTCTGACAACGCCTTCATCAGCTTTTCTCCCCAGAAGGATAGAGCCATCTTTGTTCAGGCATCATCCCGGGTTACCTTCTACTTCCTGGACTGAGATGACACTGAAATTTGCATTAGAAAAAAACAATGAAGGCCATTCACATCTATGCGATGCGATTCTGATCCGCTTAAAAAAAAGGTCCTGAGCGAGTTAAGTCCAGTGCGGTTGCAAATTTAATCTCCATAGACTTCAATGGAGACCGGAATGAAATCGCAATCCTGTGTTCATATCAATGCAAATCCAGCTGTTTCCATCAATGGGAGGCAATTTTGCATTGAAGTCGATGGGAAGTGATTTTGCATTAAAGTCAATGGGAGGCGATTTTGTATTGTGTTATGGGAGGCAATATTGCATTGACGTCAATGGGAGGCAATTTTGCATTGACGTCAATGGGAGGCAATTTTGCCTTGAAATCAATGGGAGGCAATTTTGCATGGAGGTCAATGGGAGGCGATTTTGCATTGAAGTTAATGGAAGGCAATTTTGCATTGAAGTCAGTGGGACATGATTTTTAATTGAAGTAAATGGGAGGCGATTTTTTATTGAAGTCAATGGGAGGCAACTTTGCACTGACGTTAATGGGAGGCAATTTTGCATTGATGTCAACGGGGGGCAATTTTGCCTTGAAATCAATGGGATGAGATGTTGCATTGAAATCGATGGGAGGCTATTTTGCATTGTAGTCAATAGGGGGCTTTTCAGAATTGCATCTGAACTGAACCTGGACTGCTCAACAATTAGCATTAGAAAAAACATTGTTTTCAATGAAGGCCATTCACATCTATGCGGTGCGATTCTGATCCACTTAAAAAAAAAGGTCCTGTGTGAAGTCTGGTACGGTTGCAAATTTCATCTCCATAGACTTCAATGGGGACTGGATTGAAATCACAATCCTTTGTTCATATCAATGCAAATATAGTTGTTTGAGTCAATGGGAGGTGATTTTGTATTGAAGTCAATGTCAAAGTCAACACACACAGCGCATGCATACACAGCACAGCGCACACAAGGCACATGCATACACAGCACATGTATACACAGCACATGCATACACAGCACATGTATACACACACATGCACATGTATACACAGCACAGAGCACACACACACAGCGCATGCATACACAGCACAGAGCACACAAGGAACATGCATACACAGCACATGCATACACAGCAAATGCATACACAGCACATGTATACACAGCACATGCATGCATACACACAGCACATGTATACACAGCACAGAGCACACACACAGCACATGTATATACAGCAAAGAGCACACACACAGCACATGTATACACAGCACAGAGCACACACACAGCACATGTATACACAGCACAGAGCACACACAAGGCACATGTATACACAGCACAGAGCACACAAGGCACATGCATACACAGCACAGACACACACAAATCACATGTATACACAGCACAGAGCACACACAAATCACATGTATACACAGCACAGAGCACACAAGGCACATACATACACAGCACATGTATACACAGCACAGAGCACACAAGACACATGCATACACAGCACATGTATACACAGCACAGAGCACACACACACGGCACATGTATAAACAGCACAGAGCACACAAGGCACATACATACACAGCATATGTATACACAGCACAGAGCACACGCAATATACACAGCACAGAGCACACACAGCACATGCATACACAGCACAGAGCACACAAGGCACATGTATACACAGCACATGTATACACAGCACAGAGCACACACAACGCACAATATATACAGCACAGCACAAACACAGCACATGCATACACAGCATAGAGCACATACAGCAGACACACAGTATACACTACCAAAGCACACACACAGCACATGTATACACAGCACAGAGCACACACACACAGCACATGTATACACAGCACAGAACACACACACAGCACACATATATACACAGCACAGAGCACACACACACAGCACATGTATACACAGCACAGAACACACACACACAGCACATGTATACACAGCACAGAGCACACACACACAGCACATGTATACACAGCACAGAGCACACACACAGCACGTGTATACACAGCACAGAACACACACACACAGCACATGTATACACAGCACAGAGCACACACACAGGGCTACTGTTATAAACCACAGGGCCCCATACAGACAACCTGTCAGCCCCCCCCTCCCCCCCAAAAAAAAAAATACAGCCTGCTATACTTCAGTTATGATTGAACACAGTGAGTAAATATCAATCACTCATTGTGTTCATTCAGGAAAGGAAGGGGCTGGTAGATGTGACATATGTACTTAATATTTCCCCCACTCTCCATCCTAAAGGATCCTATTGTGTGTTTGCAGCTGCTGGTGAGAAGGTAAGCCAGCAGCACTGCGGAGTGGGGGGCCTGGGCAGTGTGTGTGTGTGTGTGGGGAGGGGGTAACGTATGGTACACGGGAGGGTGATGGTTCTTCCAGGGGGGCAATTACTGGAATCGATCCCCTGTATGGCTCTCTCTGCAGCAGCACAAAGCCAGCGGGAGGGAAAGGAGAAGAAACCATCTTTCAGCTGCTGCAGAGAGAGCCATACAGGGGATCGGTTCCAGTAATTACCCCCCAGCTGTGCCTAAACTTTACAATAATCACTTACCATAAGGAAGCTCTAAAAATACGCCAAAGTTTGCTTCTCAGGTCATTCAATACAATTCCGGTTTTACATGATGTATTAGTATTTTACCACCATAACCTTACCATTAGAAAACTTCGAAATTGTTTCACACGTGAATAATCTACTTTTATTTTTATCTCCCATCTAATTGTAAGCTGCTACAGATCTGTGCACAATGCATGCGGAAATCCTTTCAGTGCCAGGCCCGGAGTCTTTGTATTGTTGTCAGCCCCCATTAGCAGTCCATTCTCCGCATTATTCATAATTATATTAAAAATAAGTAACAAACTAATTGTTTTTTTGTAGCTGCCAGCCACGGAGATCACTGAATGTATCCAATTAATTCTAGTTCCTGTCGAAAGTCTTTATGATAATCAGATTACTTTGTACAAGGTCAGACCAAGCACCTCGATGGATGGAGATCTTATGTGCATAAGCTGAGCAATCGCTGTCGTCTGAACGGCTTTATGGAGTTAATAAAGCTTCTTTTGGAGACAGCCTTCTAATTACAAGTAAGGTATTTGTCAGTCCGCGAGAACCTCCATTTCTGAAGTATGCAGGGAGGGGTCATGAAATCCCTGCATGGGAATTCCAGTCTCCTAATGATTTCTATGTGTCTTAACCCAATGGGTAATAGGGCCCTTATGTTGGGTGTCTGTCCCCAGAAAATATGTGCCCCCAACACCCTATGTATTGTGTTGCACAAGGGCCAACCCATCAGTTGTGCTGTGGAGCCAACAACCCAAAATGGAGCCACTGGAGCCATTTGTGCTTTTTCCTCTTGACCCAATGGGTAATAGTAGTACTGAAAATTATGGTTGCCATATGTCCCTGTTTCCCGGGGACAGCCCTTATGTTATATATATAATATGTGCCCCACAAGGGCCAACCCATCAGTCGTGCTGTGGAGCCAACAACCCAAATTGGAGCCACTGGAGCCATTTGTCCTTTTTTCTCTTGACCCAATAGGTAATAGTAGTACTGAAAATTATGGTTGCCATATGTCCCCGTTTCCCGGGGACAGCCCTTATGTTGGGTGTCTGTCCCCAAAAAAATATGTGCCCCCAACACCCTATGTATTGTGCTGCACAAGGGCCAACCCATCAGTCGTGCTGTGGAGCCAACAACCCAAAATGGAGCCACTGGAGCCATTTGTCCTTTTTTCTCTTGACCCAATGGGTAATAGTAGTACTGAAAATTATGGTTGCCATATGTCCCTGTTTCCTGGGGACAGTCCTTATGTTGGGTGTCTGTCCCCAGAAAATATGTGCCCCCAACACCCTATGCATTGTGCTGCACAAGGGCAAACCCATCAGTCGTGCTGTGGAGCCAACAACCCAAAATGGAGCCACTGGAGCCATTTGTGCTTTTTTCTCTTGACCCAATGGGTAATAGTAGTACTGAAAATTATGGTTGCCATATGTCCCTGTTTCCCGGGGACAGCCCTTATGTTGGGTGTCTGTCCCCAGAAAATATGTGCCCCCAACACCTATGTATTGTGCTGCACAAGGGCCAACCCATCAGTCGTGCTGTGGAGCCAACAACCCA